ATATTTTATTATAAAAACGAAAATATGCCGAAATATTTTATTATAAAAAAAATATGCCGAAATGTTTTATAAAAAAAAATACGCCGAAATACTTTATCGAAATATATGTATGAGATATAGCTAAATATCGCCAATATTTAGCTAAAATGCTCCCAATTTTGTTGTTATGATTGCATCCCCATTCTAGTCATTACGAATCGTTATTCAATGTAGTTCTTTCTTTGAGCATTAGCCCGGCGCGGACGTCTCGGTTTCTTATAAAAAGTGAAACTTCCCACCAATCCCCTCCCTGTAAGTCTTATAATCTCTCCATTTTCCTCCAATTGCTTTAGACATGTTCTTATTGAGTCTTTATTTTGACTAACTTGTTCTTTGTTTAGACCATATTCTTTAAAGAAAAACTGCTTAATTTTGTAAAAAGAAAGTAATTTTACACATTCTTTCCTCGCGGTTTTGACCACCGCGTTTAGCATGACCCGAATTGGTGGTAACTGATTCTTTATGATGTTATCTCTACTTAAGATTGTGTTTAATTTAGGATCATTACGGACAACAGATTTAAGATGATGGCTTTTAACTGCTTTTGCTTTACCTTGATCAGTTTTAATATTTATCTCACCATTCAAATTCATGTTTCGTTTTGCTGTTTTCCGAACAACTCCTGATGTAGTTGGGTAAACCGTTCCGCAAGCAGTAAGAGTATTGCTTTTATCCTGGAAATACCAGTGTTGCATGAAAAAATCAATTAATTTTGTTTTTCATAGCACACCTAATATAAATAAATACTAAATAAATACTAAAATATTTGTTATAAAATATTGTGAGGGATTATATCAGAACCTCACATGACATGTATTAGGTTAAGAAAGCAGTGAATGTTGTGATCATTTGTAGTTATTTTATAAAATACAAATTTTAAAAATCATTACTAATAAAAAATTGAGAAATACTGATATTGCACAGAGTTAGCCAAAGAAAATAGCAAAAAGAAAAGTTAAACCGATTACAATATCTTGTCTCCAATCGCTATAAGATCTAAGTGATACTGTACATATTTTATTTTCTATTCATATTTTTATCAAACTCACATTAATCGAATGCTTAAGATTTTATTTCGAAGCTTCAATACTACAGGGGATAAGTAAGAAAGAATATGGTTCGCTCTGTACTCTCAGTTATATACGCTTTGTCAACTCCTTAGTCAAATGGTAATGACAGTCTGCTTTATAAAAATGTGGAGAAGTGAAATTGTATTATGTAGTAATTATTCTTAGTGTTTGAAATACATGAAACTGAGTCTGATATTTATATAAAAATAATTTCAGAACTGTCAATTAGTATTAGAGCGATAGATGTATCGCTTTTAATTCAAAGCTAGTTGTCCTTGATAAACGCATGCACTGCTGATGACTCTTCACAAATTTACAACTATTAAACCCACTAATACTTGTATATTATTATAATAAATTATAATAGAATTAATATTATCATAATTATTATTATATATTATATTATAAGTATATATAATATAATATTATGTAGTACATTATTATATTTATTTCACTCTAAAAACTATTTCTACTTTTTACGAGTCCTAATGCTATAGGCCTCAACCTTATATTATTATATTAATAATTCTTATATATATTCATATATTCTTGTATCTAACGTCCTATATATTTATTTATTTTTTCATTTTATTGAAAGAACTCTACCAATTGATTAGAAATAAATTTAATTCAGTCTAATTTTTTTAACACCTGGGAGAACAGAGAATATTTTTGAAATTAAATTTCTAATAACAATATAACCCGTAATTATAAATATTTGAAATACTTGTCATCTATAAATTATATCTTTTTTTTTTAAATAAAATTTGATTGTGACATCTATAAAATTAATTTTTTTATTACCTTCTTAATGCGGTTGACTTCGTCACTCATTAGTTTTTTACTCAGAACACGTTTTACATCATCTATTTTCACTTTTACATCCATATCCATTATAGCACGAGCGGCAGCCTTATAAACACCCTCATTCTTTTTCTTTCGTGTTTTACCCGCCAATCTCTTTAACTTATTCTGAGAAGTACCATAAATTTTTGTATTTTGCAAATTGAGGATGGCCTCTACATTGATAAAGTTCCATTGTAAATATTTTCTAAATAAAAATTTAAACTTACCTTCTGAGCAGAGATCTAACTTTCTAACTTTATTTTGAGGACTTTGGACAACGGTTTTAAGTTTTCTACGAATCGGATCTAAATTGGTATGGAATCAATATATGAGGCATTTTTAAGATAAAAGTGAAAACTTACCCTCTACGCACCGGGTTGCCTTTCTAATATTACAACTACAATATTTTTGCACACCTCTTAATGGACACTTTTTTTTAGAGGCTGTCTCGACCTCTTGGGCCCGCTTTTGTTTCTACAATACGAAAGAATTTGTTACATATTAAATTTATTTATTTATTTTAATTTAGTTTTTACCATTTAAAAAAAATAAAAGTTTCTAAAGCTAAATTTTCTAGCTTAAAAAAATTGAAACTTCCTAATAGAAAATAAAATGAAAATGATTTTATTATGTGTTTAGTTTATATTGAAATTGATTAATGGATTAAATAATTTCAAAGCTTACTTTATATTGAACGGATATAGTAGACAAATTATTAAGTCTTCTTGATTCTTGATTCTTCTTCTTCTTGAGTTAGTGCTATTACGCACTAACTCAAGATTATTATTTTCTCTATAATGGCTGGGGGGCTTATCTCTACCCCACACTAAGCTTTAACTAGGCTAAAAAAAAAATCATATCATTTATTTATCTTTTAGTTGATAACGGACCTTAAATCAGCATATCTTCCTGAGAGTCCAGAAGTGCAACTGTATAAAAATAAGTAAAATGTTGTAGATATATTAATGTTCATTTCTCTTAGAATAATATTCGAACTAATAAGCAAAGTAAGAAAAATTCAATTAATCAAAGATAATCGCATCTGATCACAGAACCACTTCGCAGACTCAGAAGCTAAAATATATGTATAGTATCCCGAGAGATTCCGAAATAGTACTACATCCCGAGAGATAAAGGGGTGAAGTAAAAGATAGAGTAAAATAGTGAGATATAGTGAGAGATTCAGTAAAACAGTGAGAGCAAAATTCAGATAGTGGAAAAGATTGTAAGATAGTAACAGATAAAGAAAGTGAGAGATATACTGCTGGAAAGAAAGTGAGAGGGTTAGATAATCAAAACCTCTATTTGTAGCAAATTGAAATTAATTTTTATAATTTCGTGAAGCGGCACATATCCGTTAACAGTAGAACTAAAACTTTGACGGTAAATTAATATTTTGCATAGAAGCTATGCTTATACGCATTATTTTCTAGCAGATATGAAGCCGAAACTGACTAACTTTTAATATTATTCTAAAATGTATTTTAATAACCTCCTAGGATAAGCATCTCTATCACAAAGCTGGATATATCAATGTCAGCTTTTTAACAAGCTGAATTTCGAGATTATTACTGATTTTAAGAACTCTGATGCCATTAGCAGACACCTTTGAGGTGTCTGATGATTTTCAATGTAGGGTAGAACTTAGACAAGAACCTAAGACTAGTTTTCAACTTATAACTCAAAACAAGTTTGCTTGAATATACTCGGAGGAGTTGCAACGTTTACAAAAAATAGGTCGAACATAGAGCCTTGCGATACCCTAGCAACAGTAGAGAAGTCGTAAAAGCGAAAAGAATCAAGTCGATTGAATAGAACCATTAATTAGACAAGTCTTGAACAACTCTCAGAGTGTGAGAGTGTAGGTATACGAAGTCCAAATAGCTTGTTCAGCAGAACAGTTCAGAGTTTGAGAGTGTAGGTATACGAACTCAGCAGAACATTTCAGAGTGTGGGAGTGTAGGTATACGAAGTCAGCCGAACTTCTTTCTTTTTATAACGACTTACTGCAGCATTGAGTTTGTTGTGGAAACCAACATATAACTGTTTTTGTAGATAGTGAAGAACATACGCTGCTCATATTACACTACTAAAGCCATATTGAAATATAATAATGTTACTATGATCAGAAGAAAAAGACTAACCATCTAACTAGCTATTTAGATTTCAAATTATTAGCTGATTCAAGTTAAAAGAGCTGTTAAAACGTTCTGGTTTTGGTTTACCATTCTTAGCAGTGGTGTAGGGCTGTCCAGGCCAAATGCCATCGCGGGCCAATACAAATCACTTCACAAATTGGAGGGCTCCAGTAGCAAATACATACATTCATAGTTATTTTTGACAAAAATAAAAATAAGGTTATAATGTTAAATTTAGTTTTATTTAGTACACAAAAATAAAATTTACGTAATTGTGGTAGATTAAAAACAAGTCTCGGGCCGCATATGGCCCGCTGGCCTTGCTTTCGACAGCCCTGGTGTAGGGAATGGCTTTTTCTATGGTTGGGGTAAGTGATCTACATTGCAAAATTAGTAAAAAAATGTTAATATCAATATAAAATAACTCGAATTATTAATTATGTCCACGTAACAAATTGAGCGAAGTGAACCAATAAATTATCCAATTAAACAAATTTTCCAAGCTTGAATGGTATTACGATATATCCGGAGTAAACGTGTTAGTAACTTTGATCTAAGAAAAAATAAATAAATGAATTAACAACTAAAATTAAAAAATTAAATACAAAAACAGAAATTTAATAATAAAATAAAAAAACACTTATAAAGAATATATGCCACAGCTAATGAACGTTGCAAAAGCTGACAGCCTTGATTAAAGAAGGCAGCCCAAAACTTCATGCAACCAAGAAGTTGAGCTGAACTCCGTCACACGCCAAATAATTGCTTAAAACGCAAGCACACGCAATAAACGTACAAACGGATGAAGTTTGTTTGCGTCAATGCGGTGAATGTCATTCCGTTTTGGACTTGGATTATTTTATGATTGTGATAATCGCTTATATTTCATTGATCTAGAAGTTGAGTAGCTGTGATTCTGGTAAAAAGTTACAAGCTTTGTGGAAGCCAACGTTAGTTGCATTTAACTGAAGGCCAAAATCCAAGTAGCATTTTTGCTAAGATTTTGCTAAGATTTTTCTTTTATTTATATACTTCTAAATGTTTTGATAAATAATTTTTTATTTATTTCTAATCAAAATACGTAAACAAAATACGTTAAATAAAAATATTTTTATATTGCAAAATGAAGCTGAATTTTAAAATTAAATTTTTATTCATAAATTTATGATAATCTAAGCTGGGAATTTGCTTTAGGTTAACGAACTCTCAATACAAACTTAAAACGAATTGCATTATTTTATATGAAATACGTAGGTATTTTTAAATAATTTTATTTTTAATTTTAAATATTATTAATTAATGCCAGTTGCTTATATAATTTCTTCTGGAAGTATTTGCACGGCTCGCAATCAGTAATAAATGCTTTCACAATAGTGATGGATTTTTCTTGGTTGAGAGGTTTTACAATTCCTCATTTGATCTAAAACAATAATATCGGATTTATTCATATAATTTAAGCAGTCTTATTTATTTCATAAGCAATCGTTTTTGATTGATAGATATAAAATAGACAGTTTAGTTGGTTCATAGCTTTCAGAGCTATGATTGTTGCATTAATTATAATTTCATTGTTTAAGTAACGCCCGTTCATAAATTTCATACATATGATTAACAAATATAGTTGAGTTAGAAATTAAAAACTTACAATCTAAAACGCCTTAACAAATTTCTCAATTACCACAATGTATAATAATTATAGTAAATTCCTCAATTACTAGTATAACAACACGTTGTGACTATCACTATTTAATGCTTAATTACTGCAAAGTAATTAAGAATTAATTAAGAATTTCAGTATTAAAATTCTCAACTTTTTTCTTGTACAATCAACATATTTAAGCTTAATTTAAAGTCAAACCTGTTTTTTGCGGCTTTTTTTTTGTTCGATTTTTTGTGCTTTTTTTTGTTGATTTTTTTGTGCGATTTTTTTTGTGTGATTTTTATTTTTGTGCGTTTTTTTTTGTGCGGCATATGAAATTGGAGCATATTTAAAAATTTATCAGCTATATATGCGTTACGATGTATGTTATGATTCTTTAAGTCGGAATAATCTTGTGGAAATGTTTCAGAATGGAACCGTAAGAGATTACGACATTATAAATTACGTAATGAATATTACTAATGTGCAAAAAGAACCCGATACAATGACAGCACATATCATCTATGCAGAACTGTAACTTTGTCAAAAATTAAAATGTCGTCACTAATTCCAATCGATACTAATTCTATAAGAATTTAATAATTTCAAAAGGAGCATCAAGACATATATAAGCGTCTAGTGAAACAACAATTGTCGCAAAAACTGTTCACCTTAACTCAAAAGAAATCAAACTGAAAGAAGTGCAAGATAGTATCTATGAGTGACGATTTTAAATCAATTCACCACAAGAAGTTTCACGTATTATCAGACTGCAAGGAATAATATGTGAAAAGTTTTGTATATTTAAAAATTACTTATGAAAATAGAATATTTAAAAATGTACATAATTGTTTATTCTAAATCAGAATAATCAGATTATCAATTATAAAACAATTTTTTTTAATTGTTTTACGAAAACTGCTTTTTAAAACTACTCAGGAAGCATAATTTTTTTTTATGCATATTTTTTTGTGTGATCCCTATCCCCCGCAAAAAAAAAGGTTTCACTGTGTGCAATGGCTGTTTTAAAGACGTATCCCAAAATTGATATAAAATATATTTAATAAGTTTGTAGTAACCTAATAACTATGGAAGCACAATAACCATAGAAACGAGTTGATATTGAATGAATTTCTCACAGATTTCACACTTATAATACATAAAAGAATAATGTTTGGATCAAAACAGAACAAGTCGTATATATTGGGATTATATAAAAGTGATGAATAGCCAACGATTAATAATAAAATATTTAAATAAATAAACTTCACTGTGATTGATAATATTCTTTTGTATTGTAGATAATATTATGTCGCTTGTTATAAGAAAGTAAGATGCAATATATAACTAAGTAAGACCAAAGACCGAAAATAACAATAATATCAAAAAATTTTGTAAAAACAAATAGCAACAAAAAGTTGTCTAAACTCATATTTAAGCATATAGTTATCATTCTAACAACTTTTATCCTTAATATTATGCATGCTTTTTATAATAGTTATAAGGTGATTTTATTATGATAACTGTTAGGGTCCCTGAGTAGGACCGATAATATCTTGTTGGAATTAATTGAGTTCAGTGTTTAGTTTATATATCAGTACTTTATTACCTCGCTAACATATTTTATTTCAATCAGGACACCGCTCTTCTATAAGTATCCTTTTAAGCTATATGTTATTACTTTATTGCAGTATAGAACAAAAGGAAAGACTTGAAGAAGATCCAGAGGTAGGTTATACTGCAGTTCTTATTAAAGCAGACCTATGATAACTGATGCATATGTGCAACGAAAATATATTAACAATATCCAGATATTTCTCACACTGCTGATAAATATTGTAAAGTAGTATAATAAACGCAACCAGACAGCTTATAAACGTAGTTTTATTCTTCATCAATAAACCTCTAGCTTAATATTGCATATAATATTTTCCTAAAAGTATGCAATACTTATTCACAGTAAAGATGGCTTAGCTACTCACATCAAGAAATTTATGAAGAATTTAACCTCATACCCGTGTAGTGTAGCTGTTGTTTTAGATGGTTTAATACTCGTATATTCATTATAGTTTCAGATGTGTCATTTGATTTAATATTGCGATATGAGATGATTATTTAAATATTAAATATTTTCGTTTATCATAATTATTAGCTATAAATTCACATATAACAAAAAAAAAATCAATATTATTTCTACATTTTATAAGACTTAGATTGCTACTGTGAGTTTTAAATATATTTAAAAAGCTAGGTCCCATATGTTATGTAGATCAATTTTGATAGTTGCAATTAGACAGAGTACAAAACAGAAGTAGAAGTAAAGTAAAATATTATTAAACAAAATTCTAAGGGAAACCACAGAACTTCTTTAAACCGGAAAAATGATATCAGTTAATTAAATATATTATAACAATAAAAATTAAGCCATTAACATACGTGACTATAGATAAAGATGTGTTTACTTATACAGATATTTAACTTATTCATATTGTAATTTACATATCATTATAAAAAAAAATATATATAATATATTCTAATTGAAAATCAAAAAAAAAAAAACAGATTATGATTTAAGTATACTTTTGAAGTTTCCGATCATATTGTGGGGATTAGCAGTTAGTCACTTCAATATGGAGAATACACTGAGTGATAAAGCAATTTGAAATATAATATTATCATTGGTTATCATCAACTTATTAACGAAATTCATTACATTGAACTTCAATACTTATTATTATGTATTCATTCCACTAAAAGAGATACCACTACATATTATTTTTCGATTTTGATGTTTTCGATTTTGATATTATTGTTAATTGTTGATTTATTAGAGCTACCATACCCCATATTATAGAACATGGAGTACAAATTATCATCATAAATATTTTTGTTGTTCCCAATAAAATTATTTTATACCCAGGGCTTAAGTTTAATTGTATTCACAGATTGAATTCTATCTGTTAGCTATCTACCTGACTTGCCCTGCAAACCAGTAAACTAAACTTATGCCTATATATTCATGGATATATGTCAGTAACCCACTTGTAGCTGACCTCTTTGGTATATAGAAAATAAATTCAATAAAACTTTTAATCCGTAATTTCAAAGTGACTGCATTAAAGTTACATAGTTATCCACACGGATCGGTAACAATATCTCCAGATTACCTAGAAGGCATAACAAGAATACCAGAGTAGAGTAGCTTTAGATAAAACTGTAATAAACTTAACTTTTTGGAAACATTAATACTAATATTTTTGGTGAATCAAGCTTGTAGCCACAATTTAGTAGGTGCGGTCGGTGGTTTTTAGATAAAATAGTCGATCAACTACACTTTTAAATATAACTATCATATAAGCTGGATATATCAGATACAGGATGGTATAGAAAAAACTCATTTATTTGTTGTTATGTTTTGACTAAATTTAAAAAGTAACTATTGAAATCTGTATTATGTAGTAATAGTAAAAACGATTAATCAATAAAGACTCAGAGAGACTAGCTACTAAAAATAATTAGTAGCTAGTAGCTAATTTTAATAAATATCTATGTTTTTCGATTTCAATATAATCATTACCCAATTTAAAGATTCGTGTT